AGAGGGTATTATCAGCATAACAGATTGTCTGAGTATATGTATGGTCAGAGAAATGAATACTACACAGCAATATATAGTGAAATCGGGAAAAATACTGCCATACACTCCACGCATATACCCAAAAAAAGAATGGGGCTGGAGAGATGGCTCAGTAGTGAAGATCATTGGCTGCTCTTCCAGAGGATCCAGTTTAGATACCTAGCCCCCAATTGGCAGTTCACAACTTGGTGTAACTCTAATACTAGGGAATCTGATGGCCTTTTCTTGCCCTTGCAGGTGCCAACCAAACATATGGGCACAGGCACACATGTAGTCCGACATCTACTTAATATACTGATTGGAAAACCACAATTTCTGAAGATTATTTACAGTATGATAAACTTTTATTATGTTGAAAACAATATCAGATAGGGGTACCTACATAAATTGCTAATATTTTAGTATTTAGAAGATAAACATGGCCTAGCACAGTGGTGCATGCTTTTATCCCAGTACTTGAGGGAAGGGGAATCTCTGTGAGTTTCAGGCCAGCATGGTCTACATAGCAAGTTCCATGGCAGCCGAAGTTATATGTGAGACCCCCCCAAAGAAAGAGAGACATAAAATGTAGCATGTTGGTTACCTCTGTGGTGACGAGGAGAGTAGGTCAGGGAGGCGGACTGGCAGCTCAGGTGACACTGGTAAGATTTCCGCTCTTCACTGAGTCGCACTTTATTGAAACTTGTTGATTTTCCATCCTCCCAGATGCTTTCTAACTTAACATGGGCCAGCATAGTACACAGATTCTCTTGAATGCAGCAAATATTGCATAGTAAAAGATGTCCCATTAAACTTTAATGTCACTTCAGAACCCTGAAGACAGGCTTGGAGGAAGTCCCTTGATCTCGCTGTCCCTCTTTCCAGTGTGGCCATGTTAAACAGATTATTTTCTGCTTACCAACATATTCCAAGTAGACTTGTGGACTAGTGGCTAAATCTGGCTTAGGACACGGGTTGTGAAACCCCAAATTCATTGATAATATAGTAACCACAAAGGGACAAAAGACACATTTGGGGGATATCTGCCACCCCAGTAAGCTGACCTCAAAAGGAGAGGAAAGAAGAAAGATCCCAGCCATGACTGGAGTCATTTTACTCTGAGAATATTTTTCCATCTTTCCACTTCACCTGCCATCAGCTGCCCTTTGCTTCTACTTGCTCGAGCAGAAAAATGAGTATTTGGACATTGTTTTGGCTTCTCAAAGAAATTTGACCCTTGCAGCTATGAGGAAGTTGGGAGGAGAAGAGACAGACTGACAGAGAGAGAGAGACAGAGACAGAGAGACAGAGAGAGAACTGAAACAATATTTTTGAGATGCTAGGATGTTACTGACAGGTAGTGCAGAACAGACTTCCGGATTCCTCCAAAGCTGTTCTGCCAGAAGAACAACATTCGTCCTTTAAGCTCAACACACTTCTTTCTGAAGTCTTCCTGACCAGGATGGCCTGACTTGTGCCCCTCTAAGACATGACACCTGTGACAACCTTGCCTCTGCTTTATTAATCATATCAAGATACCAGAACCCTCCAAACTGGTATAGAGACTACTTCAAGTGAAAAGATGAGCTGCAGGAGAAAGAATTGTACCTGAGCTTCCCTTGTCTGCTAAGAATGAAAAGCAGGATACTGCAAAACGCCCTAGCAAGGTAATCTTAAGGTTACACTCGAACAATCTGAAAAATGATTGGGTAAATAAGGTGCCAGACATCTTTGTCCTTCCTACAGTAACCATACAAACTTTACTGCCAACTCATCTGGGGACAACTGCTCATGCAATACAATGTTCTTCTATTAAAGTGTTCTGTTAAAATAAACAATCTGGATCAGTGGAATGGTTCAGTAGATAAAGGGGCTTGCTGCCAAACCTCATAACCTGAGTTCAGCCCCCAAAATCCATGATGTAGAAGGAGGAAACTGTTTCCAGAAGCTGTCCTCTCACTTCTGAACATATTCCATGGCATGCCCCACCACACACAGAAATAAAAAATAATACTAAAACTAATAGAAATGAATAGTCTAATCAGTATTCTACTTCTCAATGGACATTTTCTACATAATGTAATTAGATAAGTGCTATAAATTTTAATTGTAATTGATAGCTCAATATCTTAAGCCTCCATGTAACATATGCAGCTTGGTAGTCAACTTGGAACTTTGGACCCTAAGAAAGCAACAACAATATTTTCAGCATAATTAATATTTACATACTAAGGAGTGACACTCAAAATATTTAACAACTTCTTTGGTTATATTAATTAATGTAGAATCAAAATTTAACACCATCTGCTTGGTTTCCATCTGTAGGACTCTCAAGACAGTCCTACAGATTACCATTCCCAACAGTAGACGCAGGAGGGCGACTCTAGAAGCAAGCTCAATCCTCCAATGGCATGTGAGGCCACAGAGTCCTATAAGGTACAGATCTAACTTGGATGAGCTACGACATATGGGGCTGACTGGACATGGGACAGGCCTGATACCTCATTGAGAAGAGATCTTTCACTTGAGGAAATTTCTAGGGGGAAAAAAGGCCAATGTCTTGAGAGAAGTATATGTGTCCCCTGTGTTCTAGAAGCAGAAAGGAAGCCAGTGTGGCTACACATGAAAAGAGATGGGAGTGGAGTTGGTAAAGGTGGAGGAACGACAAACACTGGGCTGGCAACGGAGCTCAACAGGCATTATGCTTGCCTAGCATGCACTAGGCCCTGGGTTCGAGCACTAACACCTCACATGCCTCCCGTGGTGACACACATGCAACAGCAGCACTCGGGAGGTGGGGGCAGAAGCATCAGAAGATCAAGGTCAATCCTTACCTACACAGGTTGCTTGAGGCTAGCCTGGGACACATGAGACCCTATTAGGCAGGGGGGAAAGGCATGTTTCTAGGTCATTGCAAGTAATCACTTTTAAGCTAAGTAAGATAAGATGTGGATAAAAGGATTTGTAGACAGGGTGACATGATCTAACCAACCATAAAGAGAACAGCTTGGAGGAGCGGAGGACAGAAGCAAGAAGGCCAAGGGAGGCTCTTCTTAACATCCAGCAAGAAAACAGGGAATCTCAGAAATACCACATCCTGCGTTCACCAATGTAGAAATGCTATTGGAAGTACATATATCATCACTAGAAGAGCGAACAAAGGTGGAGAATAGGGCAAATAGAATAGGAACCAGAACTGAGCACTACGACATCATGGTGGAGAGGTGAAGGACATAAGGGAAAGCAAAAGGAGTTTGACTTGGAGCAGTCAATTCTCCCCACAAGAGCTCACACCACCAACCTGAATTTGATGTCTTCCCTCTTCCTAAATAACTTTTACTACAAATGGATATGACTGTAAACGACATAAAGGATTATTCTGCATTTATTAACGAGGTCTCGTACTCCGTATATTTTCTCCAGTTACTGATTTGCTATACAACCTAATTAGTGAAACTCATCTGTTAGTAGGCGTCACAGCAGGCCATCTAACTTTCACTTTTGCATGCTCTTCCCTTACATGAATGTGCCACATTAGTTCGTTTCCATGTACAAGGACACAGAAGCAATTTCCCTTTCCTGCTGCCATCTGTGACCCTGCCACGAATATTCTCACATGGGCTTCCTTTTCCCTTCCTTTGGGTTCTGTTGGGAAGGTTTCTCAAACTTTAGCATTCAGTAGAAACAGTTGGAAATTTTATTAAAACCAGTTTCTAAACCCAGCATTCAAAGATTTTGTATAAGCTAGAGCCTGAGAAGTTGCATTTCTGACAAGCTCCCCCAGGGTGCTTTTGTTCATGGTCCAAAAATGACACTAAGAATCAATATCCTGGAATAGACCAGGCATGAAGAAGGAAGTCACAGATGTGCAGGCACCTCTCTGGCTTTTCTACATGTTGTCAACTTGCCTTGCAATGTGGGTGGCCTAATTTATGTTTACATCAGTGGCAGGATCTTTAAGACCAATTCTGGATGCTGTCAGATTTTTAATTTTTGCCATACTAGACTTCAATAATTTAAAAAAATGAATCACAGAATTGGTTCTGGCTTTAGTTCTGATGTTGTGATAAAACATTATTATCAAAAGCAACATTGGGGAGGATGTTTGGTTTACAATTCCAGACCATGATCCATCATTGAGGGAAAGCAAGACAGGAACTTGAAGGTAGGTCTGATTGTCATTCCACACAGGATTACCTCTGACAAAGGAACTCACTTCACAGCTAATGAAGTACAACAGATACCACGGAAGGTGCTGCTTGCTAGCTGACTTCAAAGAAGGCTTACTAGCAAGCTTGAAGACTGCTAACTTTCAAATGGTGCTCAGGACCTCCTGACTAGGAATGGTGCTTCTCAAACTGGGCTGCCCCCCACACACACACACACGTGCGTGAGTGTGTGTGTGTGCATGTGTATGTGTGTCTGTGTAAATAATCAAGACAATCACCCGCAGGCCAATCTGATCTAAGAGATTTCTTAATGGAGACTATCATCTTAGATGATGTAAGCTTTTTCAAGTTGACACTTAAAACTAACTAGAACAGCATATATAATTACACATACCCAACACACAGAAATAGACATTACATCCTAAAGCTAATCAGAATACATTCAAGCTTCTTTATTCCATAGAAATTACTCCCAGTTAACTGCCATTTTCCCTATCAAGCAAAGATGGTGTGGACAAGACCATCAAAATAATTATGAAAGGAAAAAGAATGTGTGCTCTTTTTAATGAAGAACTTCACTGTGGTTCTGTTTGTTATAGTTTGAAAAGCCAATGATGATATGAATTTTTTATGGACTACTAAGGAGAAAGGAAGTGAATGACCTATACAATGAAAACACTGAAGAAACTGAAGAAAACACTAGGAGATGGAAAAATATTCAAATATTGGAAAAATTAATATTGTGAAGATAGCCAACCTACCAAAAGCAAACCACACGATAAAAGCCACCGCCATCAAGAATCTAGTACTCACGTATCTGGTTAGTGGATGCACTGTAAAAGGCATTGACTGTTGTCGGATTTGTAAACCACCTGCAGAAAGAAAGACAAATGCCACAGGTAGCCATCAGTATCCAAATAGAAAACCAGTAAATGTAAAACAACACAATATTGCTGCAAGGGAAAATTTTTGTCTTATTTATGGCTCCTAGTCCATTGAATGAACAATTTTATCAGAAAGTAAGCACAGTTTGGCATGAATATGTTAGCAGGGCTGGAGAAATGTCTCAGTTTAAACACACTGGCTGCTCTTCCAGAGGGCCCAGGTTCAATTCCCCGTACCCACATGGAAGCTAACAACTGTCTGTAACTGCAGTTCCAGGGAATCTACGGTGCACAGACATTCATCCAGGCAAAACACACACACACATACACACACATATATTATCTCTTTTAAAAAAGAATACTAGCAAGCCTGGATTTTCACTGACAACAAAAATGATTAATTAATTGATTGATTAATTAACTAATTTTATTTTTTTAATTAACTAATTTTAAAAATGCAACATGAGTGCATCTGAAAATCCTTTAACAAGAAGTTTACAATCAGAGGTGCTCCCTCGAAAAATCAAAACACACAGTAGCAAGCTGATGCTTGTCAGGTTCTGTTCAGATGATCCAGGCAACAACCACCTTTCTGGCCTGTATCACCCCTGACCTGCTATGAAACTGTTGCTGCCACAGGGTCCGCCTGCTCCCGTGAAAAGTTTAGTGATTTAAGTTGCAAGTGCCTGAACTATCTCTATAACCAGCTGAGTTTTGAGGAATCCATCACCAATCTTTCCGGGGTTTGCTTTCAGCTGTAACGTGAAGGTGTTGGGCTGGTAGGATGGTGCTTGCCCTGAGATCCCGAAGAACTGAGTCTCTAGTTACCTAGAGCAGAATATAGCACTTTCTTCAGTAAAAAATCAGAGTGTAAATGCTTCAGGCTTTACAGATGAAGAAGCAAAACTAAAGATAGTATACAGATAGGAAATACTAAACTTTCTACAATGATTAATAAAATTAAAATATAATAATAACTATCATCTTTATTCATCAAAATGACAAAATTCTTTTGAGGGGGAATATTTCAACTAACTGGTTAAACTTATGGCTTATCAACATCAGACAAATTACAACTTTTTATCTGTAAATACCATTCTTGGTTCATGGGCTAAGTGACACAGCCAGGTGGTATCTAGCTCAGTCACTGCCTTTTATAATTAAACACGGGCAATGCCTTTTAAGCTGAATTGCTTAAAAATAAACTTGGACAGGACTGAGTGTCTAGCTTAGTGATATAAGGCATGCTTAGCATTCATGAGCTCTGGGTTCCAACCCCAGCATGAAAAAAGAAACATAAATCCCTTTTCAAACAAAGGTTTTATTCTTCTATGCCTAATAGAAAACCATCAGAGCAATAAATTAATGTATAACAGTCTTAAAAAAACCTTGTAGGTACTCAACTCTTGATTCTTATTGGTCCTCTCTTATCTTCTTCCTTGCGGAAAAGCCTATGACTATGTCATCCAATCCTCGTGATTATTAGCTAGCAGACACTAAGCATTTTGCTAGGTTCTAACTTTATCATTATAGCCCGTCTGCATATAAGGACAATGAAATTGAGAAGCATTGCACACTTGTGCAAAGACTGGTCTTTCAGATTTGAACGTAATTCTATTAGGCCTTGCATTATTCTAGAGACAGTAACAGAAATCAAGAGAGTATCTTGTCTTTTGTCCAATCAACGTAAGATAAGTGGTTCAATTAGACCCTGGTGCTTATCAAAAAAAAAAGGTTACTGACTGGTCTATTTTCTTGAGGAAACAAATACGGGAGAAAGTATCTTTGTTGACCCCAAGTTTCTGTCTGTAGTGAGTAGAATTATGGCCACATCCTAATCCCTGGGATCCTGCCATTGCACAACAAAAAGAACTTTGCAGATGTAATTAAGGTTAAGGATCTAAAAATAAGGATTATTTTACCTGGATTATCCAGGTAGGTTTATCTAATTCCATCAGCCCTCAAGAGCAGGCAACCTTTTCCAGCTAGAATCAAATAGATTCAACAGAGGATTGGAGGTCGGAAAAGATACTTGCACACAGGAAGTCAGGCAGATGGGAAGGGTGAGAAGAATTTCACACACTGCTACTGGCTCTTAGAAGAAGAGGCCATATTCTAAGAATTCAGACCTTCAGGCCTGCAACCACAGGAAGTGGATTCAGCCATAATATATACATGTGATAATTGCAATAATATATGTTCCTACAGACTCCCCCTTCTCTTCCCCTCATTTCTCACTCTGCTTGTTCATATAAAAGTAAATATTCAAATTATTAGGGTGAGAACCATACATTGACCTGTTCCTAAAAGCTGATAGGCAAATTCACACACACACACACACACACACACACACACACACACACACACACACAAAGAAACAAACAACCACTGTCTGGGGCCATTTCAGAGAGACTTCTAAAGCTTCAGCAAGAATTGATAAAACATCCTACCTCACACATATGACCTCATTCCTGACCCCTATCCAACCCTCTGAGTTGTTATTGATTCTTTGGACCATTTGGAGCCTTAATTGTCCCTGGAGCTGATATTAAGTATCTGCACCAGCAGGTCTTATCAGTTGTTGATGCTTTTATTTCTTCTGCGTATTCAGGGACCGTGCCAATCCAGCTGTGAAACATTTTGTACATCTCCTTTATTATATCCAAGTTTGTTATATATTTAGTTTTACTGTTCTCCGATGCAAACTTTCAATATCTGTTTACAAAATAGTTTATTCACCCACTAAGATATGGAATCCAAATTCCTTTCCTCTTTATTATAGATTAGTCTTGCTGACTCTCTGCTAAAGAATGAGATGTGATGAAGCTTGAAAGAAGCGGGTAGAGTGCTGGCCTAGCATTCAGGAAGCGCTCAGTCCCATTCCCAGCACTGCACAGACTGGCTGTGATGGCATGCACTTATAACCTAAGCACTCAGAAGGTGAATAATCCTCAGCTACATATAAAGTTTGATGTCAGTCTATGACATGAGACCCTATCTCTGATAGATAAATAAACTAATAGAGTAATATTTTATATAAAAAACGAAATTAAATGGTACTTGGTGACTTCCAAGGGCAATACACTGATGCACACAAGAACAGCCTCTTCTTATTTCTCTCCCATCTCTCAAGAAACTGGCTATTCAACTTTGTTCATCAACTAACATTCTGTTAAGACGTTTTACACACAAAGGGGCCATTCATAGGTGTTCTAGCCAATGAGCACCAATGAGTAGGAATGTAAGAAAGGGAACCCAGTAACTATCTTACTATGACTACATTAAAGACTATGAGCAATAGCCACAGAGCTAAGCCTAATGACCACACCTAGAATCAGAATATGCAAAAGTCAAATGATTAGTGTTCCTATGAGCACCTAACTGGGGCATGGGGGGGGCAGTTATACAACCACAAATAAGTAGAATGTGGAAAAGTTGACTCTCCACAGATTAAGCCCTACCTAACAGGCTGAAGTTTCCCAGTTTTATTTGCCAATATGATGGATCTTAAAAATTATTAAGTTAGAATTCCTTAAAGCCAAGCATATAAACACTAATTCTTTTAAATGCTCACACTTGTCAAAGTTGGCTATCTCTTCACCAGCATGGCCCTGAAGGCCTTCCAGTTTGTAGGGCTGATCTCCTAGGATGATTTATGAGATAAAACCACCGTCCAAATGTCATGTTCTGAGCAGAAGGTCACTAAATATATTGTTAAATATACATCCATTTTAAGAAGCAAAAATATCAGCTCTAGATTCTTCTTACTGTCTTTGGGGTGCTCCTGCAGTCTGTATTTGTGAAAAACCTAATAAATAAAATAGAGGAGAGAAGTCTAATATAAACTTCAAATCACAAAACTTCTAGGACAGAGACACAGTTAAAAGGAATATAATACCAAGCTGTGAGCATCTGAGAGGAACACACTGATACTCTGATTTCCTTTGAGCACCTCATATAAATAAATATCAGGCTAAAATTTCACGTTTCACTAGTCAACCCTTAAAGGTAGTTAGGGAGTATGAAATGACAAAGAAAATCACTGGATATATGGTACATTCCTACCATAAGCTACAGGTAATATTACTCTCATTCAGTGTTATACAGAATGTTTTTGCAAACAAAATTTCAGGACAAGATTGTAATTTGTGTAGATGTTTAATGTGGTTTTTGCAAAGTTTTTTTTTTTCGAGAGTTAGAGACAAGAACCAAGACATGTTTTGTCACAGTAGAATGAGAGGGAGTTAATAAGGGAGCTGGCTTAGAATCATCTGTCAAAAAAGAGGATCCTGAGGGAAAGAAATTACTTTTGACTCAAGCCAAGCAGTAAAGTAAATCATCTATTTTTTAAGCAAACTGATGAAGTGACAATTCTGAGAACCAATCCCTAAATATGTACCTTCAGGGATGACCGCCCAATTAATTTCATTCTTGCTGACATTTCCCATTGCCTTAGAAACTTCTTAATGCATATTAGTGCAGCTAAAATGGATTTCATGAGAAAAAAAAAGACGATAAAGGGTATTTATCTCCCAGCCCCACAAAGAAGCAAAATGTTATTTCAGAGCTTTTTGGAACGAGAATCATGATGTGCTCTGTTCAAAGTAAACTAGTACAGAGGAGCTACTCCAACATCCTCCTCACTCGATTGACTCATGAATTTTCAGAACTAAAAGATGTCAATTAAAGTCCATGGGCTTCACAAAGCTAAAATTCCCTGCAATGTTTAAAATGGACCAGACAGACATTTCCTTTAAAAGAAAAATTGACAGCCATGGAAACAGGACCTTAAACTTCATAACATTCTTTTCTCTGAAATAGACATATAAATATACATTACAAGTATTACTCTGCTATTTATTCTTAAATAATGTTTCCCAAACATTGATCAAGTTACTACCTTTGTGAAGCAGAACAGATAGAGCACTGTGTGTGTGTCTACAGGGCTGGGGAAAATGCAGCTGTACTTGACACACACACACACACAC